TATATCATAGTAAAATTATATTTGTGTAATGAAATCAGTAATCATCTACTATAACGAATAATTCGTTAACACTATAACGAAGATTCTTATAACGAAGTCCTGATCGGCTGGATTGGCAACTTCGTTATATCGAGGTGTGACTGTATTAATTTCTATAAAATTTTGGATTAAATTATGAACTGAGTCAAATAATGTTATAGAAGATTCTTGCAACTCAGTCATTTCAGTCATTTTTGATATTTTATTTTTCTTTTTCTTTTTATTTTTCTTTTTTGAGATATTCGATTTGGTTCTTTTTATAAGGGTTGACATTGCTTGTTAAAGATTCCTTTTTTATTATTATTAAAACAAAAACAAAAAAAAAATTGTTCGTAATCAATTAATACTATTGATAAAGGATTTCTTGTTTTTATTTTTTTAAAAAAAAAACAAAACATGCTTAAAAAACAATTGATAAAGAATCTTTTATTTAAAACAAAAAAAAAAATGCTCGTAAAACAATTAATACAAAAATGCTTATAAAAAAACAATTGATAAAGAATTCTTTTATTTAACAATCGTAACAATTAATACAATTGATAAAGGATTTCTTGTTTTTTTTTTAAAAAGAAAAACAAAACATGCTTAAAAACAATTGGTAAAGGATTCTTTTATTTAACAATCGTAAACAATTAATACAATTGATAAAGGATTTCTTTTTTTTTTTTAAAAGAAAAACAAAACATGCTTAAAAAACAATCGATAAAGAATTCTTTTATTTAAACAAAAAAAAATGCTCGTAAAATAATTAATACAAAAATGCTTATAAAAAAACAATTGATAAAGAATTCTTTTATTTAACAATCGTAACAATTAATACAATTGATAAAGGATTTCTTGTTTTTTTTTTTAAAAAGAAAAACAAAACATGCTTAAAAACAATTGGTAAAGGATTCTTTTATTTAAAACAAAAAAAAAAGCTCATAAAACAATTGATAAAAAAAAAATTTTCTTATGAAACAATTTATCAAAGAATCCTTTATTCTTTTTTAAATCATTCTTGTATTAATAACACGTCAACAAAATTTGGCAAATTTATTTTCTAAATATAGTATTCTCGAAAAAAAATTAAACTTTTTCCGATTGTACAATGGTAATAAATTCTTAATTTAGATAAAAACCTGTTTTAAAAATTCTTTTGTTTCTAAATTAGGGTTCATTGATAGGAGAAAAAAATTTTTATTTAATTCGTATCTTTATCTTCATATTTTCAACAGTTAATAGAAACGTTACTGTTTTATTCGAAATGGCTCTGTTTGAACTAAAACAATATGAAAATGTTATATTCCCTAACCTTGATATCTTACAAAAAACTGTTAAAGACATACGTGAATCTTTTCCACATTTAAAAGAGTTAAATAAAAAATTTTCAATAGTAACGATGATTTTAAGGAATTAGATACGTTCAATCGTACGTTTAATGATTTAATAGACATAAGAGCCAAAGAATCTTTAAAAATGTCAATAGATTTAGATGATTTTATAGAATACTTTAGAATGCTTTCAGAAGATAATGTTACCGTCGATGACTTGTTGCAAATGTTAATAGTACTAAAAGATATGATAAAAAATAGAAAAAGTAGCGCTGAGGAATTAAGAAAAGAGTTTGAAAAATTTAAAAGTTTCATATTAAATTATGTTACAATAGACGTTAGCCAATCGACGGCAAATGATGATGACTTAGAGGATGTATCACAAACTTTAATGCTCACAGATGGTAGACAACAACATTCACTTGTTCAAAGTTCATTAAATTCATTATATCAAATTTTTTTAGAAGGCATAAAGCCTTCAATAATTTATTATACCTTAACGTATACTATATTACCAAACTCACAAAATAATTCGTCATTATACTTGGCTATTGCTGTTTTCGCTGGATGTTATATTTATAATCGTAAAGCAATATCAAGGAATGTAAAAGATTTGATAAAAAGAATTCGTCCAAATAAATTCAACGGAAAGAGTGACACCATTCTATTGATTAATAAAAGAGAACAAAACAAATACAAGGAAAAGATTTCAGCAAAATTACCAGTAGTTTTAACACATCTAGAAATAGTAAAACAATTTTGGAAACAACAATTTGATATTTTTGAATCACATATCATTGCATTGTGATTTATGGATGGAAGTGTGAATCTTAAGTTATCAAAAATTTCGGTGGCTGGGATCATTGAAAGGTGTACAGAAGAAAAAGTCCGATGCGAAGAATGTTATCATATATTGATGCGATATTAGTAATATTTTGGATAGCATCGACAAGAGAATCTTTATTTTTCCAACTAGTAAGTAATGTTTCGCGTGGTACTTTAATAAAAAAACTAAAGGATCCGAAACTTTGATTCAAGGAATTTAGTTCATTATCATATTTTGGATTTTTTATTAAATTGATTACTTAGTTATCGAACTTAATTTATGTTTATTTTACTTTTATAGTTTTATCATTAAATAAAGCCAAATATTTCAACTACATATCAGGTTTTAATATTTTTAAGTAAATTTATAATGAATCATTTTTTATATATAAAAATTTACAGACAATTTTTGGTTGAATTGTTTATATCTGAAATATTTTTCTCTTCTTCTGCTCACTGTAGTAATATTAATAATTTAAAAGGTGGCCACCTCACTCTATTATAATAAAGTAACAATTTGTTAAAAGATAATGTTTTAAGATATAAAATTTCTTTCGCAGTATCATGAGATATTTTTTTAATAATATAAAAACGCCTTTTTAATTTATTTTATTTTTAATTAGTCCGGAGTGTTAGCAAAGGATTATTTACTTTCTATGCATTGTGTCTATTTGTCTGACCGCTTATCATTTGAGATGACAAATATCGGCTATTTATAAATACCTTAGTACATTTTCCTAAAAAAGAAACTGCTCGCAACATAGCGATAGATTTAATAAATTCTCCCTAAAATGTGTTGTATTTATTTTTATTAGACGTAATGACATATTC